GATTATAGATTCTCCATGTAATCTTATTTTATCTATAGAAAGTGGCTAACATATTAATAAAAAAGAACATACCAGTAGCTTTTGGTGAAGTGAAACAAACAGTCAATATACCAATACTCATTGCTATAATTGTGAATACAGCAAATGCACCTGCACCAATTGAAGATCGATGTCGCGACCAATGCGAAAATTCTCTAATAAAGACATTCTATACATTATTATGATTGAACACAAAAGAAAATTATATACAAAGGTGTCGGAGTCATTGACCACTTCTTTGTTGTATTAGTAGCAGTGGCACATTCTGCTGAATTAAATTCATTTTGCGTTGAGTTTTCACGTTGCTCATTGTCAACATGAGGATGTTGTGCAGCAGGTGAATTCTCAACTGAGATAGCATCATCACTCGTCGAATTTTTATTCATCTATAGTAAAAAAAACAGTATTTAGTAAAAGATAGTTTTCAGTAAGTATTCATTGTTCACTAGAATACTTTTCTATAAATTACCTTTCGAGTTATCGATAATGTCCTTTCTATGCTGAAAAGTTGCAAAGTCTTGAGAAATTAGAAAATATCTAAAATAACAGAATTAATTTCATTAGTAATCATAATTTAGAATATTAAATGGTTACATGTTTGTTTTCTTTTGAAAAAATTGCTTCTTTCTTGGGTATGGATAGTCTCTTAATGAACACTAAAATAATCAGGCTATGTCAAACAAAGACAACGCTTCAAAAAGTTTCGATCTTATCCAAAAGCAAAACATAGATAGGTATTAGAAACATGAACATAGAACACAGTGTGAGCTAGTACTCAATGAGGTATGCTTCCACAAAAGTTCTTTTTTTGTGTCAAGTTGACTCAATAGACTGAACTCTATTTGTTAATACATGTTTTTCCTTGCAACTCGTTAGTTTAAACATTTGTAAACATTCCATTGGTAACGTTTTCCTTATTGATATGTCTTGTTTGTTGATAGCTTTGGTTTCGAAATCTTTTTAGTCAGTGAAAATATACTTTATTCATTAAACGATACATTCTATTGTTGAGTATGATTTAGACGTGTCTACCAATGGATTTAAATTATTTTTTGAAAGTATTTAATTATTTCTATAAGGTATTTTGTCAATTGAATTATTATCGATCGAAGACTCGGAAAGGTTTTTCATTTCATTCAATCGACTATACATAACTCTAGTGATTGAACTAAGATAGTCGTGATTATGGTAGGATTCAAGCTACAGATGTGATGACTATCTAAGACCTTATTCTAGTTATGGCATACCAAAAGTAGTGGCGGTTTCATCGCAATTTCGTATAGACGGCTTGAGAAAATTTTCTTTTTATATAGATTAATAGTCAAAACAAAGCTCTACATTTCTACACTATTTGATCATTATTCATCCAATATTGTAATAATAAAATTTTCATTAGAATCGTTCAGCTACAATATGTAACAATAACAGTAAGGGGAAAATAGCAGAGGAATATTTTTAGAAGAACTTTTCATAGAAACAAGTAACGCTCGTTCATGTGACTCGCTGGATCCTCGACTGTATATTCGGTCCTTTGGTATTTTATATTGTTTTACAGTATTCAAAACAGCTAGTATCCAACGTGTCAAAAGAATGGATGGATGTGTGTGTTTATATTAGCGTCAATCTTGTTGTGCATAATGGTATGGGGGTTCGAATGAACATTTTTGCCACAAATGTATCGAATCACATCGATATCCCCATATTTATACTCAACAATAGTCTAAGGAACTACATTATGGCAGCGATATCCACATGCACCCAAAAAACAGATTATATTCAATTTTCTGAGAGGTCACGAAGCAAAACGCATTTACGACACTATTGTGAAACAGCGTCATACTGCTTGAAATTTCTACTAGAAAACTATTGGCTTACCAAAACATCAGCCGACAATATTTTTTAGTGGGGTATGCGTTACAAAAATACGGGTTCAATTGAACTCCTAGCTTAAAATTAATCATACTAGATCTAGTCTTCAATCGAACTGCCATACTTGAAAGAAGCTCATATTCAAAGTAACCGTCAGATTAGATAGGTAATTTGAATATATCTGTATACATTTCAACATTTGAATGAGTACAGACAAGAACACATACCAGCAGAAAAATTCCCGTTTATTTCATTTATATCTACTTCTGATACCATGAATATAAAACCTGTGACTGATGTTTTCCGCCAAATGTAGTATTAAAATATTGTGCGCGTGCATAAAAAGCGTTGTCACACTTTATTTCAAAATATTTGTCAGTTCTTATCAACTGTTAGTCCTTATTCAAACCCATTAGGTCTAGACTGTTGATTTTTGTTTGATGAATACAAACAGCCTGAAGTGTGTCTTCAAGAGATTTTTTAGTGCACCGGCTGGTCGTTCGTCGGAAACCCTTCGAGGCGCTACTCATGGCTAGTCACTGTTATGTTTCATTCTATTTCTCCATAATGCCATCCTTTTTTATTTAGACTTCATCTAATCTCAAATTCGGCTTAATTTGACAAGCTATTTGATCTGTAGCACGAGAATTCTCAATGGCAATTTCTAAACCAAAGCATCATTGTGAACTATTTCTGATTTCTTCAATTTCATTCTGTAACTGGAAAATCAGAGTTTTATTGAAATTTCTTATTCAGGAAATATTAGTGAGCATTCACAAAAAAATCTAGCTTTTAAACTTATTTTTCATGAGCGAAATCTGCGGAATGGCTGCAATATGAACCATTAGTCGTTCGTTTTACATAACTGCACTTATCCAAACAGTTTGTTTATTGTTATTTAACATAAAAGGTATGACATCATTTTTATACGTCAAATTTTCATTACTTTCTTCGAGTTATCGCAACTGGAAATTTCACAAGCTGGAGATCCTCCAAACATACACAAGGTTAAAAAATTGGTTTTTTACATGAGTTGCCTAATTCGAATTCGAATATAAATGGAGACGTCACTGCTTATGGTTACTTCGAAAATAAATGAAAAAAACGCCTTCCCTGTTGAAATAGTAAAAAGGCAAAAGAAATAATTTTATATAAATTATGAATTTATAAATTTATAAATGAAAAGGCACACTCATGTTGAAATAGTAAAAAAGCAAAAGAAATAATTTTATATAAATTATAAATTTATAAACGAAAAGGCACACCCATGTTGGAATGGCAAAAAAGCAAATGAAATAATTTTATATAAATTATAAATTTATAAATGAAAAAAGGCACACTCATGTTGAAATAGCTAAAAAGCAACAGAAATCATTTTATCTGCATTATAAATTTATATATAAAAAGGCATACGCATCGTGTAACAGTAGAAAAGGAAAGTACTTATTTTGCATAACTTAATCACGTATGAGCGAAGAACGCATTAAGACAAAATTTGCCACATCTAACTAACCTTATTGCTAGGCTGATATTTGGATAGATGAAAATGAAGGAAGGATTCCTCTCAGTGGAAACTAAAGAGGTTTAATGTCGTCAGCGAGATGTGAAGTTCCAATTTACGATTGAAGTTCGATATCCGTGATCTAATAAAAAATCTTGTCTATGGTGGCCGCCGGAATATTGTCTTTTATTTTACAACCAAACCATCTCATATCCTATAGCTTACGATTGCAAATCACCGATGCGCATTCAGAGTTCGATAGCTAGCAAAGAAACAGTATTCGTAGGTGTAGAAACGAGTGAAACTCCACTACTCTAAGAGCTTCAATTCAGTACGTGTATCCGGCACTTGCCTTACATCAGAAGAAAACATCCGGCAAAATTCTCCTCAAGTGGAAACAATAGCTAGCAAGATCAGCAGAAATTACTTCGACAGTTACTAAATAGTACACTGAGAAGACGACCAACCATTTTCAACTTATGCATCATGCAAAAACTGACCTAACTTTCACAGACTATCTATGGAACATTTTAGTGGCTCTGGTGCAGTATTCATACAAGAAACACGTCTGTGCATTATCAGCCCTGTCAAAGGGCACACGCACACCTTTATTTAAGCCTCGGCGCGTGGTGGCCCGAAGGACCACCCGAAGAGCGCCGAGAGGCTGCTTCTGTGCCAATACAGATTAGAGACTTCCACATTGATACTATCAGAGGACGTACACAAATTATTTCTTTTGCTTTTTTGGTATTTCAACATGGGTGTGCCTTTGCATTTATAAATTTATAAATTTATAATTTATACAAAAATTTGTTTTTGTTGCTTAAACGGGTGTGTATCGTTGGATAAAATTTTGCTCTTGCTTTTTGCCTGTCAGAACATGGAAGCCGTTTTTTTCATTTATATTCGAACTCGAATTAGACAGCTGCTCGTTTTTTATAATAATAATAATAAAAAACAATCTATTGACATATCCCAGTTTAAGACCCTGCCCTATCTGTGTATAGATTTCCTTAGAACATAGATATAACTATATGAAAGAAGTGGGAGAAATACGCTTTCAACATCAATTCTATTGGAAAATTGTTAGAATATCTAGCCGATTTTTATCTATTTCTTCTATCGTTTCAAAAGATAGTGTTGTCTCTCTTTGAACGTACATGGCTTTTATTATGCTTTTAAAAACTGCCGAGATACGAAGATTTGACATGGGAAGCACCTCTTAGTGGAATCACAATGGCATCTTTATAACAAATACGTAAGGCTTCAAGGCGCGAATCACTTCGATCGTTTAGAGTTGTGAAGAGTATTGTTGAGGTGTTGCTAATCTGCTTGTCTTCGCAATTTTTCAAGGCACTCTAATAGTTACCTATGCACAACAAATAGCTCTAATGTCTCTTTGAATCATAGAGCACCAGTTCAAATCACCAAGGTTTTCTTATAACTATCGAATAATCGGAACAGATTTCAGTAGCATATTAATTACTATCCTTTTCATTAAATTCATGAATAGCCGCAAACGGTCTGTGTTAACGAGAAAAAAGTCATTAACTTCATTACTATTTTCATAAAATTGGCAAAATTTGCCAATATTCACTTTCATTTTCTTCTTTTCATACGTTTAGACACAATCTAAAGCTCACATAAACCATGCTTAATTACTGGTATCATTTAAGGATAGAAAAATCTTCTGAACACTGATAGACTAAAAGGGCTTACGAGAGATACTGCAATATCAAAAGACTTACATCTGCTTGTTGTATTAATGTGATGTATATTGTAAAGACAAATGTAATACGTTGATAATGTAATATATCGACGTTGTTTAGTAAAGAAAATGAAAGCATAATTTTGCTTATGTATACATCGAAAATACTTTTGGCTTGCGTGCATCCAACCGTATACGTTGGATAAAGCATGATCATATATTGTTGAGACACACTGGGTTTTTTTCCACAAAAATTTTATCATTCTTTTGCTTGTTCTATCACTTATCGATCAGGCAGCTTGAATAATGAAGAAAGAGAGAGAGAACGAGTTAATCGATGGTTGAAAAAATGTGCATTATATCACGGCTCTATTTTTATTTTTCTACCTATCTTTGCATAGGATAGGTAAAATATACAGGCTTTACAAGCAATAGTATGAAGCTTTATATCATTGATCACGTTATAACCGAGTTCAATGGTCCCTTCTGCCTATGACGGAAGATATTGGCTTCTACTGTCACTGATGGAACCATTTCTTGTCTATACACATATTCCTCGTTAAAAAATCGACATTTGGATGAAGTCTTGTCCTTAGGATCGTTTCTGATCCTCACAGGAACTGGGAAGTCACTGTCAACAGCTGCCTCGGCTAACATCGTCGTGTGTATCCTTGCTTTGATTCAGATTCCTTTTCCAGTCGTTATATTCGTTTAAGTTGCAGTTCCACTCATCATTCTGCTACCTATCTCGGTGGGAAGTCAATTTCAACTTTGATATCAAGATCTGTCAGACTGGCTCTGTTTAGTAGTGGTTCTATCTAGCCAAACCTCTCGTTCAGCTATTACTCATGGTTCTGTACCATCTCAAAGTTTTTCATGGAGCAATACTCATTTTTATAACAGTTGTGTTCGATTTTTGTCCTCAGTTGGCATCTTAGCAGTAGAGTGTACTCTCAGTTTGATCATGCTCTTTATTAGGGTGCCAGCTTCGAACTTAACTACAATACTCATTGCAGACGTGCCTTGGTACCGCCGCTTTCGATGGGTTCCGGTAGCCGCATCCAATAGTTCTTCAAGTTTCTGTAAGAATCGTTTCAGACGTTGGCGATTCTTTTTTAGCACGAATTCTATCTTACAAATGAATGTTCACAACTGATAAGCACCGCTCGCGCCCGTACTTTGTTGGCGGTTGTGGTGCCACTTTTTCTGTTATATTTATGTTTTTTTGTCATATGTTAACTAGAACATGCATTTTTCTACTGAAAATTTGATCACTAACTTATCTTTTTTGGATCATTGACCCTTAAATTTTTAGTCAAATCTGACTTTGTGCCCGATAAAGATACAATATTTTATTTCCAATTTTTTTATAGACACTTTTATTGTTTTCAACATCAAGCCCAATGAAGATTGCTATGATCTTCTGTAATTTCCTGAAGAGGAAAAGAACTATTAAAATGAAAAAACAGTTACAGTATTTTTCTTTTCAAAAATAACTGCAAAAGTATACAAAGACAACAAGTGAAGTAAGCTTGTCAGCGCAGCTCCTTTGGAGCTGAAATGTAGAACTCACGTATGTGCTTCCGAGTTGTTCTCTTAATGCATTATCTGTAAACTCAAAAATAGTTTTTTTACGAATAATTATGAATGCATTAGAAAATTGTATAGAATCTGAAGCCTTCTGTGTGCGGTTGCTGAGGTCTGTAATGATGGCCTGTCTGTAAAGGAAGATGTTTGTAATAGGAGTATGTCTGTAGTATTCTCTTCCCCGTTGTTATGTGTTTGTAATGGGATGGGGAGAGAGGGAGCCGAAAAACCTTGACCTTAAAACTTACACTCAGTATTTTCTTCGAAAATATACGTGAGTTCCACAATAAAATAAACGCTCTAGGGAAGGTATTGAGTAATGTGTTATATGAATGGTATTTTTAAAAATAAGTGCATGAAACAAAGCTTCAACATCCAAATAAAAAATTTTAAAAGATAGTAGGATACAACAAGAGGGTTCTGTTCCATGAGGCGTAAAGAATAATACTTTTTATGACGACAATGCGTAACATGTTGTTTGTTTCTGATAAAAGAATAATTAGCAAAACTTCGGTTTTGTCTCGTTTGCAAGCAAAAGCAGATTCAACTCAGAACTTATGGGTGAATAGCCGTATACAGGATAATTTAGTCATTAAGTTTTAAAAGGTAAAAGAAATATTTCCTAGCTTAAATAAGAGACGATAAACAATTATTCACAAGTAACGCTCGTCGCTTCGATTTGCTTAGCCCTCGATTGAATAATTAAATTTATTTACATACCATTTTATTTTATTTTATTTCTCTGAGATAACTGGTAATAACATCAGATGTAACTGAGTATACGTGTTACAATACTATGATCTTAATCTGTAATAGTATAGGTAATTTAGAATTTTAATTATTCTCAGTATTAAAATCGCCATTTTCTCGACTGCTTATAGAGCCAAGCGTTTTCAAAAATAGTGTCGTAGAATTCTCTCTTGTGGAGCACAATGGTTAGAAAAATGTATTTACTTGTTTCATGGCTGATAGTGTGAGCAAAGATTAATCTTTTAATGAAAATTTATCAAGAACAATAAATAATAGGTACACTCATATGCGTTATATTATTACGTCTTTTTGCGACATGAATAGTAGTCTATATCATGCAATGACAATAATATAAGATATGTTGCTTTCAATTGCTAGTTACTACTCGTTTGTATGATCAACCTATCAACCATACAGATCAATCAGAAGGTTTTTATATCTTATATGAAATGAGCGAGTGTGATAGCAATCATCACTGAACTTTTTATGAGTATCTTTTCAGTCAAATTTATGCACTATTAAATAATTGAGATTATTGATATTAAAAGTTCTATAAGCAATTACATGATATAAATATATTTAATTTGCATTTGCAACTATAACAAACAGAAAAAGAGACATCTATATCTAACAAATATCATATCGAACTACAATCAAAACAAAGAAAAACAACGCTAATATATACAAGGTATTAATATAGAAAAAAAACAATGTTTAAATGTATATAACATAGAACAAACACGTAAGAAAAGTATGCATTTAGAGCAATAACAGATACAAATAAAAAGAGTTTCCATGCAATACAAAAAAAACCATTGAAACCACTGAGAAAAATGTTTTTGTGTTTTTAAATATATTTGATCCAGTCTTTCCATTTCGGTGAGTTGAAATTTACTTGATTTAATTATTAAAACCTTGTAATTGAATTGCCATAAGATAACTAGATCAACCAAACGTTTTACATGAGATAATGGTACATAAACTGCGGTAACATCTTCAGTTTCATTTGGCAGTTTAAGATCGATCACGATTTTATTCAGAGTTTGGCCTTGGCTCTTGTGTGTTGTAATGCAATAAGCAGGCACCAGTGGTAATGCTCGACGTTTAATCAATAAAATTGCTTTTCAATTTGATTTTGGTTTCTTGTCTTTTGGAAGAACATCAGAAACGTCTACTCGAAATGTTTGTTCAATTACTGGTATTAGAACAAGTTTTGGTTGAAGTTCTTCAAGATTGGATTCAATTTTTGATTTGGCAATTTCTATTAATGCATATAATGGTCGATGGATGTACTGTGTATTTTTTGGAAATATTTCCGATAAAACATCTGTTGATGCAGAATCTGCCTGATAGACTAATTGTCGAAAGATTCCATTAATACCATTAATAAGACGAAGTTCAATAGCAATGTTTTGTGTTAAAATAGCAGGTATTCCAGGAACAAAAAGTAATAAACCAGGTAAATGCTCTGTCTTGTTATCAGATAATTCCAATAATTTTTTTATAAGTATAGGATCTTCAATTGGTTTGCCATTACAACTGTCTTGAGCAACGCATACCATCGGGACGTGGCCTAATTGAGCTGCATTATGAATTGCTGGCTTGTTGTTCAATTGTGTTCGTACTTCATTTCGGAACACAAGGGTCGGAGTCTAAACGAGACAAATATACACGTTTGTATCAAAAGGAAAAGAAAACTTACTTTATTCCATGGTGAATTACAGAGGGAGCCTACTGATGGTTGCCCAACTACTTGTGTCAGCAATAATTCATAGTCGTCATAATTACATTGTCCATGACGAAGATATTCGAGTAGCTGAAGGTACCGTGAATCTTCTGTGCACATCTGTTGAGTAAGTTTTACCACACAGTTAATTTGAAGAATTAAAGAACGTGCAACACGTTGTTGAATTTCTTTTTCTGTGGGTAGTTTACCCAATTTCTCTTTGGATGGTAATGAAAAATCAGTGTGTAATGGTGCATCTTATACAGGTCGATATTGTAAGTAATCACCAAAGAAGATAATGTTTACACCACCGAATGGAACTTGAGGATCGACATGTTTTGCAGTTGAAATAATTCGGTTGAGTTTTGCCAGTAGAGTTAAACCAAACATGCTCGTCTCATCAATTAAAACATGTTCGACTGATCTCCATTTTTTCTCAAGTTTTGAGTCATCCAGTTTAATGGTTCGTGGCTTTCCTGAATTGCGTTGTTCACCCAAAAATGAATGAATTGTCATTCCATCTATTTCAGCAGCAGCAATTCCAGTCGGTTCAAGCTTCCTCATCATTTGCATTCTTTTTGTAACGAGAAAATATTTGGTAAGAGCACGAATAAGTTGTGATTTGCCCGTTCCGCCACACCCAGGTATATGCATGATGAGCTGACCATTATTGTCACGTAAACAGATTGTATATTTCGATTTGTGATGACGTGTATTGTAAAAATACTTGTGCAACATCGGTTGTCACCATCAAGATGACTTGTTATGATCATAAATGCAGCTCGTTGTCCTCTGTTTAAATGTAAATTCATTAATAATACTTGTCTGAGTAGGAAAGTTATGTATGACTTTGAGCACTGGAAGAATTGAACTATAATTTTCAAAATTGTTTGTACTATAATTATTTGGATTCATCATTGTTACATCGGCATCTCTTATAGCAAATAAATCCAATGTATCATCATCTTTGTCATAGTTCCCAATAATTAAACTTCGTCTAACTCGTTCTTTCTCGATCTTCAGCTGTTTTTGTCATTTTGTATTGAGTTGAACAAGATGAGATGTTGCACAAAGGAATGGTATAAGTTGTCGATTAGTACGATCAATTGATATATCTGAAGAAGATTGATAATATACCACAATAAATTTTTTATCATTGTTTTCAAACTTGTTACTGATATAAAAATAATACTTACTGTTCGTATGATTAAATCGTCCAACGTTCTCGACTGCTTCGATAGTTTCTTCAATATATTTATTTTCTGTTGTTTTTCTTGTGGCATTGACTGCAGCAGTTGTATATTCATCTAAATTGCCTAATAGTTCAAGCAAGTCATCGCTGTCATCCATGTCGTATTCACCATGAGCATCATGATTTGATGGCAAAAGTACAGGATCGATTGCATCATTGTCGACTTGGACTTCAGCAATAACTTGAAGTAAATGCTCATCACAGTCCTTTTTGCATTCGTGGAAAAGTTGGATATTTTCTATGATCTTCCACGAATGTACAGAAATACGATGTTGCCGAGATTCGAAGGCACCTTCCCATGTTTGATTGGCACCACAGAGATCAGTAACCGTGCGCCAGAGCACGAAGAGTGTGAGAAGAGCTCGACTGTATCGTTCTCAAGTGTCATCACGATCTCGTCGAGGAATTTGTGGACCGTAAAGAATAGGTACATGAGGTTCACTGTATTTCATCATCAGATGTGTTGATGCCTGTGGATGTTGTTTTTGAAATGGAGAGCGTTCATTGGGTGGTCGCCCTTTTTGATTAGCTTTTTCTTCTACAGTTTCTGTAGTCTTAGATAAATATTTCTGATCTGTTGTATTCATTTTGTTCTTGTATAGTGTGCTAACAAAATTGTATAAGCATGGGTTATTGAGAATGGCCGAACGATATTGATAATCAATTCGTGTGTTAACAAGTACATATTTTTTGTTATCTTCAGCAGTTTGAATTTGAAATTGTTCTTCATTATTATTTTCATCGTCGATAGTTTCATCATCAAATATATCATCGTCGATTACATCTACATGTGAAAGACAATAAGTTAGTTTTAATTTAATATATCTTATGATCACTGTTGATATAATAAATACTTCTGAAACATGAGATCAAATATCTGTATACTCACTGTAAGTTGCAAGTTTCAACTTTTGTTGCGCACGTATTTCGTTTAATTGGGTTTGTAAAAATCGTTCAGTTTTAATTAGATAGAGACCTTGAAATTTGTGCGTTGTGTAATGATCATCCAAATGCATGAGATAAGAGCCAACTTGAACGCCAGATAGTTCTTGTTGAGAAGCAAATGTATTATAACAACATAAAACGAGTTTACGCGACTTCTCGATTGCACTTTCATTGCCTGGTTGATGGTATGAATTCTGGAACAACGTAATGCTTTTTTGTACAAGAGCAAATGTATCATGGAAAGAAAGACTCATTTTTGTCACATAATCGGTAATATAATAGATAAGAGTCTTTGCATCATTTCCATTCCAGATAAATTTAATATTCATGTTGGATCGGCAGGCTGCGATGAGATATTCATTAAAATTATTTATCAATGGGTCGGATCTTCGCATAGAAATGTGGCCTGTATCAGGATCAATTGTCGAAACTGGTACTAACGTGCGTGGCATACGCATTCGACAACTTTTCTTATCACCTTTATTAGCATTCCAGTATTTATAGCAAGTATTACTATGTTTATGAATATTGGTTGCTTTAACAAGTTGTACTACATCCGCACGAAATCGTGATGCAAAATTAGGTGACGACGGATTTGGAGTTGGTAAGCAAGCTGGAATCACTTTTGATTCATTATACGAAGCATTAATAACTAAAACATTAAATAATCCTTTACTTTTCTTCTATGATTACTATACTTACCAAATGTTGATTGATTACGTGTTGGTGTTTGTAAAAGTTTATTTGGCAATGCAGACACATGCAAAATCGATGAAACAAATTGTTCCTTCAACGGTGTTGATATAATGTTGTTGGGTTCATATATATTTTGTTGTAAACCTGTCAAATCAATTGTACTTAAAGCTGCATATATTTTATCTCGGGATAATCGTGGTGGCGTGTTCCATGATCTTGGCACTATAACATAAGCAAAAACAATATTTGAATATAAGCAAAAATTAAACTCTTTATACCATCTAAATTTTCGAAGACATGTTTGTTTTTGATTCATCTAAATCTTCTTTGATTATATCTTCTAGATATGCTTTCAATTTTTCACGAAAATCAGCATTTTGAATTTTGTCTTTCATACCAGCTGGTTTCATATCATGATCAAGCCAAATAAGAAGATGCAAATGAAGGGAACCTCGTCCTTGACTTTCAACGGTACCAAAGTAAGCTTTTATTGGGCCAAGTACACCACCAACGATCATAGTATCTAAGATATTACTGAGCAATAAATGAAAATATTTGGCAGTAGCAACAGGATGAGATGCTATAATTTCAGCTCTTTTGTAATTATCCATAAGTTGTTCCATTTGAATATTGTTCAAATCAAGCTTGACGCCAGCAAAATATAATGCCGCGGGACTGTGAATATCAGCTGGATTTAAAGTTAAAAAAATGCTTGGTAGTCCCTGATTGTAGATTAATGCATGAATACGTGTACGTAATGCCGTACGTGAATATGCTAAAACCATAACTCGACCACCGATGGTTTTAATATGATGTAGTAATTTATTTAATGCACAGCTGGATTCCGAACTGTATGTTTTTTTGGAAATGTTATCGAGCGCCATTTCAATATCTTTACTTTTCAAGGATTGAATTTCATCAGCAGATACTCGAAAGTAAGGTTTTGTTGCGATCAGCTGAACATGAAAATAAGCATCACGTCGTTGTAATAGATTGAAGACGACAAATATAAAACTGATTCGTTTCAAAACGTCGATCATTGTACGATAACAGATAACGTATGTGTTCTCGTAAATTTATTTTGACTGGACGCGATTGATCTTCAGGTGCTCCACGTCCATAACAGAATAAAGTTGGATACAGACCTACGAATAGTTTTGGATTAAAATATTCGTTAACAGGCTTCGAAGAATGAGGAATCAAATAAACACTTTCGGTGTCCATCTATTCTTTTGTTCCGTCATTTTTAATTTTGTGCAAAAGATAATCAGTAATTTCATCTGAAGACACTGATGAGCCATTGACATCGAGGACACCACTAAAAAAGAAAAGATTTGTGAAACAACTAATTTATTAGCTGCTCTTACCTGGTACTAATAGGAATACTATCTGTAGTAGTACGTTCTATTAGGTCGGATAATGGATCAGGAATATATCCAATTCTTTCAGATTGAATTTCTTCATCATCTATCTTCTGTTCCATCGTTGACATAATACATTCTGGTACATCGTCTTCAGGTAATTGAGCAATATCCTTCAGATTTATATCAACATTTTGATAAAGTACGTTGTGTTTCTTCAGCCAATGTAATGCTTCAATAATTTTCTTCTTGCGTACTCGTCAAGTGTAAGTGGTAAACTATTAACAATATTTGGTACATTTTGAAGAAAATTGATATAGTTGCCCAGGACGAGTATTCTGGGTCCCGGATCCCGTCGGATCCTGTCGGAAATCTGGCTTAATCCGATAAATTCCGACGGGAATCCGACAACTTCCGACAGGATCCGTGTCGGAAGTTGTCGGAATCCTTGGTAGCGGAATCCAGTCGGAAGTTGTCGGATGTCGGATCCGACGATTTCCGACAGTCGGATCCGGCAGTCGGAAGACCTTGGAAAGTACAGGATCCGACGGGATCCTACTAGATTTCTATAGATAAACCAGATATTACGTACAGCACCCATGCTGCACTCATTAGCGTTTTATTTTGCAATACTTAATATATATTGAGCGGATTAGTCTGATTGGATGGCTAAATTCCTGTGTTATCATACTGTTGCTATAATGCATCAGGTAAATATGATTTTTTTATCAGTTATAGTACTTGTATGGCACAATACGAGTACTATAACTGGTAAAAAAATCATAGTTACCTGATACATTATAGAAACAGCATGATAAAAATAAAATTCGGCTATCCGGTCAGATTAATCAGTGCCATCCCATTCAATTTAACGTTGTAAATAATCTAAAATAAAAAATAAAAATTATTTAAATACATTAATACCTACTTTTTGATGTATCCTTGGAAACAATCTAAAATGAAAAATAAAAATTATTTTAATAAATAAACACTTACTTTTTTTGATTTATCGTTGTAAATAATCTAAAATAAAAAATATAAATTATTTAAATAAATTAACACTTACTGTTTAATTTATTGGTTTATCGTTGTAAATAATCTAAAATAAAAAATATAAATTACTTTAATAAATAAATAAATACCTACTGTTTGATTTATCGTTGTAAATAATCTAAAATAAAAAATAAAATTTATTTAAATAAATAAATACCTATTGTTTTATTTATCGTTGTAAATAATCTAAAATAAAAAATAAAATTTATTTAAATAAATAAATACTTACTGTTTGATTTATCGATTTATCGTTGTAAACAATCTAAAGTAAAAAATAAAAATTATTTTAATAAATAAATACTTACTTTTTTTGAT